AGGGGGGGGGGGGGGAAAGGATCAGTAAGAATGATAGCGAACGATAAGCACCAAAAAACATTGGTCAGTCTCAAAAGCAGGCTCACCATCCAGGAAACAGGTCCTCGTGGCTTTCTTAAAATGCAGCAGGGCTGGGGCTGAGTGGACTTGAGGGGATGCTGTTCCACAGGGCTGAGGCAGCCCCCCGAGAAGGGCTGTCTCTCAGGCCCCATAAGATGGCATTGTTTTAACTATGGGACTTTTTAATCCCCCCTTGGTCCTTCATTCCTACCTCTCTGAACACCCCATGTGTTCCTAACTTTCCCCCTAGATACCTCATTACAAAGACTGGCCATTATTTTAGCTCAACAGGTAGAGTTGCTGCAGAGGGACTCCCAATTCTTTGGGGGAAAGTGGGGGGGGCAGTTCTCCAAGAAGGAGTCTGTGGGAGGTTGCATGACAGCAATTAGAGGCCTACAGCCCAATGCAGATGAGAATGGGACTGCTCCCTGGCGCCACGTGGGGAATTCCTTCAAACTGACAGCCACTATGGTGTCCCGTTCCAAAACCTTTAGGGACCTTTTTTGAAGTGTCTGAACATAAACACATTAGAAGGTGTTAGATTAGGGTTTGCCTGCAGGAAGCGGTGCATAATCTTTACAGGAGGAGTTAGACTAGGAGTCGGGAGACGCAGCCATTCAGTCTCTTGCTGCCTATCTCAAAGGGGTGTTGTTTAGAGGAGGGAGTGCTACGTATGCCACCTTGAACTCTTGACTGAAAGGTGGGATATAAAACAAATCAATCAAAAAGATCAACACACTCTACACATTAAAAGTCTTTAAAAGTCTAATGGCAACACAGAGAACAATTTGGAGGGGCACTGAGTATGCTGTGGAAGCATCATAAGGTGATATCCCCCTCATTTTTGGGATATAAAGATACTTGCTGAAGCCCTGATGCTTCCTCTTGTGCTGGAAAAGATATCGTCATTATCATCATCATCAGTTATATATGAATCACGTTGAATGGGTGGCATAGGATCCACCCCTGCTTAGCTGATATGTGACATCAGTGTTTCTCAACCTTGGCAACTTTATGATGTGTGAACCTTGGCTGGCTGGGGAATTCTGGGAGTTGAAGTCCACACAGCTTAAAGCGGCCAAGGCTGAGAAACACTGTATTATCTGATTCAATCATCACTTCCCACTTTCTCATTCATTTCTTTTTTATTCTCTCTTTTGAAGAAGAGTCATTTCACTCAGAGAGCAGCTCCCTCTCAGAATCAGCCAGCCATGAGAATGGTAAGCACGTCCTAGTTGTCATTCTCAGGTCAAGGAAGGGTGCTCGATGGTCTGAGTTGAGCAGACACAAACAACATATCTGACAAATAAAAAGGTCTAAAGGTTTAACATTCCCTAGAAATTCTTACCATCGAATTCTTGATGGGGATGGGATGATGAGGCAAAGATGCTCTGCATATCAGCAGAAAATGACTCTTACCAACCAACAGGCTGATATAAAAGCACACGGGCTCTGTGTGTGTGTGTGTGTGTGTGTGTGTGTGTGTGTGTG